TATCCATGTCTACTTTTACCAGTACTGGAAAGGAAGCTAATGTCCTCTTTAACGTTTCAAAAACTGCCTGGCATTCATCTGTCCATGCAAAGGCAGTTTGTTTCTTGGTGAGTTCTGTGATAGGATATGTAATCTTAGCAAAATTTGAAACATGCTTACGGTAAAATCCGCACATCCCTAAAAATTGCCGGATTTGTTTGACATTAGTGGGTGTTTTACACTCTGTTACTGCTTCTACATTCTCTGGGTCAGGCTCAATGCCTTTCTCTAAAACAATATGCCCCAAGAATTTTACTTGTCTTTGACCAAACTGACATTTAGATAGATTTAATTTGATTCCCATATTTACAAACCTGTCAAATACTTTAGCCAATCTGCCCATGAGGGTATTGAAATCATTATCCCATACTATGACATCATCTAGATAGTTCCTGACCCAATCTTCTTCTGCTAAAGGAGCTAAGACCCTGTTTACTTCCCTCGTAAAAACGGGCTGGCTGACAATCCAAAAAGCAGGCGTTTGAATCGCCATAAATTATACCCATCACTGAAGGTGGTTATATCTCTACTGTTATGGTTGAGAATTACCTGATAGTAAGCATCTTTCAAATCCAAGGTGGCATAATATTTATTTCCGGCAGCCTTCTCAACTAATTCATCCAACCTTGGCAAAGGTTGTATGCCTGTATCTACTTTCAAGTGTGTGTTGACTGCTCGGAAATCAAGGCACATACGTTTTGATCCATTAGGTTTAGTTACTAACACGATAGATGATAACCAGACAGCGGTTGATGGTTCAATGATGTCCCTATCTCTCATGTCTCTCATCATTTCTTTAATAGTGCCCTTGGCTTTCTCGGGATACCTATATTGGGATGTTAGCTGGCGAACCCTTAATTGTTCCTATTTCATTTGGACCTAAGACAAACAACGCATCATGATTCATTACCACCTGTTGCAACTGTGTCCGCATGTCCCTATCCAAGTGTGGCCATTGTTGGGTCCTAATTAACTCCTTCAACTTGTCCTGTCTAGTTTCTCCACGTTTCACTTCATCACAGTCTGGTACCATAGAATTAAATACATCTTGAACTCGTCTAATTTTCTGGACTGGGGAATTTTCCATACCACTACAAAGTATGCACTGAGTTGGGGATTTCACATCATGAGTCAATCTTAGGGGGATTTTGTTAGACCTCTTATCATTTTCTCTGTATGGCCAGGTGATGTGGTGAGCACAGTGGTATTTCTACAAATCGGTCTACCTTACCTAACTCTTCATAAATGTGTGAGATAGTTCCGAGATTATTCCCTTCATCATCAAAGTAACAGAATTCCTCATCATTAACTACTTCATATTCACCTAAAACAGCACGAGGACTTAAACAAACTGGCTGCTCCGAAACATTACTCATAGGAACATAAACACAGGAATCATCTTGGACTACCACACACATATCCGGTTGTTGCTTCAACCCCCTGTGCGTAAATCTGATTCTCAAGGTCTGACCTAACCCTACCTTCACTTTAACTGGTCTAATTTGAGAACTGTGCCCACTTATTATAGTCTTCCTATCAACGTGTACGTTAGTTAGCTCCTTGGGAGAAGATAAGATCGAAGCATTCGTGAATTGTTTGACTTTGACAACCGTTCACAACCTCCCTCCATGATTTGGTTTCCAATAGACTTGTTTATGACTGTCACGTGCCTATAGCGCTCGGGAACTCGCATGGCATGAGGCATATGTTCACTCCTCCATCCCACACAAGCTATTAATAACTTGTTAATTGTACTTATAATATTATTGTTGTTCTTAGTTACTCAGGTTAATTGTATATTTATGTATGTTATTAATATGCATCATTTGTGTTACTCTGTTAAGTCAAATCAAGAGTAGTATTAATTAATTATATAAACTATCTCGCAAATGTCCTGGATCACGTGATGTGAGAGGCGTTCCTCCACCACTTGGGGATGCTCCCAGAGAGTAGCGAAAAACCGTGGCATAGGATAGACGTGTCCATTCTTTCTCTAGCCTCGACCTTTGTCTAGTGCTTTGTCCAGTCTTCTGCAATGCCCTAGTGGTATCAGGTATTAGTGACACGTTCAGTTAGGCCTTGGAAGGGATCCTGGTGTTAGGGAATCTCCTGTTGGTAGGAAATAACTATTTTGTAGGGATTGTTGTATATATATAGTATGTCTGTGTTATATAGTTATGTTAAGTAGTATTAGTTTGGTCTAACTCCTTACGGTATATTTTCACCCTTCCGGCATCACTCTTATTTTAATATACAATCACTTATTCCCTTAAATTCTTGTTTGCTAGTCAGTACTCCCTTTAGAACATAAATTGAATTAATTAATTATATTCACTTTTGTGACTCACTTACTTCAACTTGTTCTTACTTATTCAAATACATTTAGTTGAGTAGGTTTTTGTGGGGATAATTATTGCCGTGTTCCCTATTTGTTCCTTTATTTGATAATAACTTGGGGTAGGTTTCACTCCCCAGGTATAAAGGATATTGGGATCGCGACAAGTGGGGGCCTGTGTCCGGGAGCTAACCATTGTTGTGTCATATCAAGTGTTGTTACTCGCCAGGTGTTGTTTCATCGCTAAGTATTTTTGGATGCAAGTTGCTGTGTTCACAGTGTTCATTTATATTGCTCCTGTTATTGCTTAAGCTACTGGTGAGTTAACCCTTATCTTGTGTACCAGGTATTTGGTTAATCCCTTGCTGTGTTTCACAGTTGATTGCATTTTAATATTATTAATTAGCTAGCTAGTTAGCTTAGCTGCCACGGTTACTTTTTTTTCGCTACTCGATTTTGAGTTCAACATGTTTGACCTGGAAAGCTTTTTGGCTTCACCTTCAGCCGAAGTACTGAAGGGGCTTACTAAGGCAGAGTGGTAATCCCTCGCTGCTTATTATGAAGTAGAAGGCCGCTCTTCCATGAATAAGGCTAGGTTAGAAGAGGCTGTCCTCAACTACCTTATTGACAATGAAATCATAGCCCAACCGTCTGGAAATTCAGAGGAAATTGTTACACCAAGTAATTTGGCCTTACAAGTTGAACTCAAGAGACTCGAGGTGGAGCTGGAAACTCTCAAACAACGAGGTTTGGCTCAGGGTAGTAATACTTCAACATTCAGTGTTGACAAATGTCTCAACAGTGTTCCTAAATTTAATGAGGAAGAACCAGACAAGTTCTTCTCTCTTTTTGAGAAAATTGCCCGACTTAACAAGTGGCCTGTTTCTCAATGGTCTCAACTTATTTATAGATCTTTCACTGGTAAAGCATTAGATGTATTTTCTGCCCTCTCTGAGGATCAATGTCTAGACTATGCCCTTGTTAAGTCCGCGGTTTTGAGCGCTTATAAACTTGTTCCTGAAGCCTACCGGCAACAGTTCCGTAACTGCCGAAAGACTGACAAACAAACATTTGTGGAGTTCTTCAGGCAGAAACAGGTCCTTTATCGGAGGTGGATTGAAAGTGAGTCTGCCCATTATTTACGACCGTGTCGTATTTTTTCTATTTATATATATATATATATAACATGCTCCCATGTTCCATATTATCCCTGTAATGATGTGTTAAATTTACTATTATATATTCTAGTCACCTTACCCTGTGCTGTTAAGGTTTAACTGTCATTATTTGTTCAAGCCCATCTTATTTCTTTATTTTGTATTGTAACCAGCATTCTTTGTTCTCTAACGACCATCTGCATCGTTAAACGACCCACCGGCGGGTCGCGTGGCGGGAGCCGACCTTATATATAGGACCCACCAACTGACTTGAGACAGTTCAGTCCTCTTGTCATACAGTTCACATCCTTTGAGTGACACTCGTCACTTGTTACTTATACTTAATTTATTTGTGTTGTTCCTGTCGCCACCAATGTGGTATATCTATGTGAGTACCTATTTATGTCTCTGTTTGTGTCCATCAGTATTTGCTTAGTTGTATTCAAGTAATTCAGTGTTGTTTCACGTTAGTTAATTTCAGTGATAGTTTTTATATGTTTTTGTAGTGTTAACGTAATCCAATGCTTTATTTTTATTCTTTTGATGTTTCGATGTTTTGTATCACTTGTGTCTTAAAAGTTTCGATGGTGAATCAATTTGTTGTGACAGCCTACGAGGCTCTTTATTGTGTTAATATTTAATTAATTAAATTCTTAAAGGTTTACTATATTTATTTTTATTCTCTTAATTTACTTCACTTTTTGTTTGGTTACGCCTAGAACCTGGATATTTAAGTAAATTAAGAGACAGCTATGTTTCATGTAGAACATGACAAGCTTGTTGAACTAATCCTGCTAGAGGAGGTTAGAAAGTGTATCCCAGGCGACATTCGAGCACACTTGGATCAGAGAGGTATCTGTACCCTGGCTGATGCTGGTCCAGTGGCTGACCATTATTCCTTAACTAATAGAAATGTAAATTCCAGGTCTTATGCTCCCATTTCCCAGTCCTTCACTTCCTTCAAGCGGCCTACACCAACATCTACACCGGGGTCCCTGCCTCTTGTCATACCGACCCGACCCTCAGGTTCTGCATCATCTACCCCAGGTGAGCCCATGGTCCATGGGACAGGTGGATCTACCCTTACTGGTGAGAGAAACTTTGGTTGTAGGTACTGTAAGAAGCCAGGACATGTCATCAGCGACTGTCTCAAGTTAAAGAAAAGAAATTCCTCTCACCAAGGATCCCCCGCTCTTTTGGTCAGGGTGGCCGAGCAATCGGAGAAATTATTGGAGCCCTGTGTCACTGCCCTCAGTCAGACTGTTGCCTTGGATGCTTCCCCCTCTTCTATGATATCAACCTTTGAACCATTTTGTTCTCCTGGTTCCTTAGCTTTGGATCAATTCAGTCAACCCACTTCTGTTAAACTCTTGAGAGACACAGGCTCAGCCTTATCTCTTGTTACTAAAGAAGCTGCTCCATTCCTGGATTCATGCTATACTGGTAGCTGGGTGCTTGTGAACGGTTTGACCGGTGGGTCGCGTATTCCCCTTTGTCAAGTGTACCTGCGGTCATCCATAAAGTCAGGCTATGTCACGTTAGGAGTAGTAGATAGCTTACCTGTAGAAGGGGTCTCTCTATTGATAGGAAATGACCTCGTTGGCGACCTGATGTTCCCTAATGTTGTGATCTCATCTTGTCCCACTGCCGAGAATAATACTGTGCAGTTAGAAGTGGACTTTCCAGGGTTGTTCCCTGCGTGTGCTGTGACCCGTAGCATGAGCCGCAGTACAGAGGTAGAAGAGACTAGTGAAGTTGATGAAGTTTCCCTCCAGGACTGTGAGAAGTCCGAGGATAATCTTATCCAGCCGGACCATACTGATCTTGGTCTCAGTGAATTTTTTGAGGATTCCCCACAACCAGATAACCTCCAGATTAGTTCTGATGGAGATAGGAACCCAGATGTCACTAGTTTTGGTTCCTCTCCCATCACTAGGAGTAAGTTTATTGAGCTACAAGCAGGGGATCCTGAGCTAGTAGGTTTTCTCAATAGGTCAGTTACTGAGACAGAAGCTGAGCAAGAATCAAATTGCTACTACACTAGGTCTGGTGTATTAATGCGGAAGTTCCGTCCCTCCAATTCTCCTGCCAATCACCCTTGGTTAGTTCATCATCAAGTTGTTATTCCCAAACCTTTGCGGCAGGACGTACTTAGTATCGCTCATGATGGGGTGGGTGGTCATTTAGGAGTTAGGAAGACC